GCAGTACCCTTTTGAATATGAGCTTACGGGACACCCTGTAAATAGCGGTAGTGCCAATCATAAAAATTTGAAAATTTTTACTAATAAACGTTTTTGGTTATTTATAAGTTTACAAGCTAGTAAAATAAGTGTAGTAAACTTGAAACACCTATATGACAATATAAAAAATCACTTAGAAATTATGTACTTAGGCATTTACAAGTACCAAAGGATCATTTATCAAATGGCTTTTAAAGGCTCAGAACTTGTTGGTAAAAGAGAGCCTGGTACTAACGATTCATTGCATATTTCTATCAATGGATAGTGAAAACCTACAGCAAAATGCAATTGGTTTTAGGCTTCGTAGAGCCACATATGAATTTCTCCTATTAAATGGTCGGCTGGTTTCATCCGTGTAATTTTGTCAACTTATGCTTCCTCTAAGGCAATTTTCCAATTGCGACACCTATTGCATATATTGCCGATTGCACAATACGCAACAGGTGCTCATGTGATGGGAAGTAAATTCAGCGACATGTTTCATTTTGAATACATATAGTTTTTACGAAATTTATGTTCGCAAACTTCGCAGTTCTTTTGCCGATCCATCGAGGTACAGGAGCCTGTTTCCGGGCTTTTTTCGTCTCAACAACCGATCAACGTTTTATGGGAAAAGCAGCGGAATAATTGACTTCAATTAGTTCTTCTCGACTACCTCCGGACTGATCAACTCGCACTTTCATTGATACCTAGTGTTATTAGATTTGCGTCTTTTCAAGGATAGCAAAGTTTCGCGTATGTTGCATTTAAACAATGTCCGTCGATGAGTAATTATTCGTGGTTTGAGACTTCAAAAAGTGGTAGATTTAGCGACAAGCTGAACTTTACTAAATGAAGCTTTCTTCGTTAACTAGTGTAATAAAAGAGCGCGTACAATCGACAATTGAACCAGTTTTGCGATCATTAAAACAATATGAAGATCGTTTTCGTTTTGCAGGTGAGTGATTTGTTTATCTGCTATTGCATGCTAGTGATAATTGTAATTAACTTGTTACTTTTTTACGGCAATTATTAAAACATTAATATAAATGAAAGATTGAAATGATTGATCTTCAGAACGTTTTTTTGCATTAAAATTTTTAATTTAATTTAAATTTTTAAGTATTATGCAGTCTTTTATTCTGGCGCTATTCAATTGAGCTTTTTTGTGATTGCTCACAGTAAATAATTCGAATATTCATATCAAATTCAAATTAAGGGGAACTTGTCTGGAAATCAGAGTGTTTAGTACAATTTGAAGATTCTTTTGGGATAGATTTTTCATTTTCGTTTACTTTCTGAAATCTGCTGCCTAATCATCTATGTAATAATTTTCATTAGGCAAATAGATTGTTAACTTTTATGCTTTTGTAACGTATTTCAATCATTTTTATCTCATGCGGTTCAGAAAATACCTTTTTCTCTGCATGAAAGTGTAAAATAAACCAAAAATGACTGGGGCGCGTTATTTTACATGGTGTTTACTTTGTTTTCATAGTATATTTGTTTTAATGTTTACATTTTTAGGTCTGTTTGATAATTCATCAAAATAAGGCCGATAGTTCATTATATGGATTTGGGTAAGTAGTAACATTTCTTTCTGCTAATAAACTAATATTTCAGATTTGAAATGTATATTTCCTTTGAGCACATATTAAAGTTTCTATTTTAATTTTTTAACATCTTCACCTGATGTGTGCAACCGCAAATTAGCACAATAGATAAAGTAGCTTATAAATAATTAGAAAGCATTGGTTTTTGAAAAAGCGAAGTATTGGAACCTTCGTTAAATATGTTGAAATAAAGTTCCTTTCTTGGAAAGCCTTTAATTACCAAAAACCCGCATCTTCTGTTCCTTTTGACTTCACATTGCGACATTGGAATAACCGACATACCATATGTAAGATTGCGTTCTTTGATGTGTTTCGAAATGAGGTGAAATATTCCACAAAAATAAGCAGGTTTTAGTAAATAATTCTTATTGTTTGGCATGAATACCCGCATTATTACATATTGTCGTGAAAGATTGCGTATCCCATACACTAGTTTTCTGATAAGAACAATAGAAGGAACTAATTAAATTCCATGTAAGTTAGGATTTTGTTAAACTGAAGCTTTCATTCTTTTTATACAAAGCTGTTCTTAATCACATGCCACAAAGTGAGCTTTGAGTGAAAAAAAAGCGAGTAATGGCTCTATCAGCATCAAATCTCCCTTTCACCACATCTCTAAAGTGCTTAAGTGATTCGTGTTGTCGTTTAAACTGAAATTAGCGGGCAAGGGAAAGTCTTTAAAATCTCGTTAGAAGGAAAACACACAAGTAATAAAAACAATAATGGCGTAATGGACTGCTTCGAAGCAATGGATCATTTACTAAACCATCAAATTTTGAAGGAATTTGGGACAACAGGGTTTTCTACGTTGTTGGAACTAAGCAGGCAACGAAATATTTCATTAAAAATAAACTGTTTTGCTTTAATGAGCTAATATTATCTTAGCTGTTTCACACATTTTTCCGGGATTTCGATGTCTCTCAATTCAGGTTTTATTAGAGCCATAAACGTTAATTTTACCTGTTAAGGTGTGAAAAGAGTGTGTTATTTATTAAGTAATTTTCAATCCTAGCAGAAATAGAATGCAGAAAGGAATCACCAAGAGGACTTAGTTTTCGTATTGAAGATACATAGAAGGGTGATTTTTCCAGGAGTTTACAAAGATAATTCAATAATTCCCCGCTTTTCCCAATAAGTAAATAATAATATTTCCTCGTTTGTTTCTTCAAAAAATACAAAACAGAAAGTTAGATTTATATAATTTCAGGTACCCTTCGGAAGATTACGAGCGCATTCGAATATATCTGGACGATGACGAGAAGCTGTTGGTTCCAAAAGATTCAAAAGTCGACTATATTAATCCGATTAATAGCGAAGCAAGCGAAGAAGAGTACTTTGAGAGTGGCCCAACATTTCCCACTTATATCACTAAGTATGAGGTTTGAGCAAACCCTTACGTCTGCACAACATTTCCATTGGCACCGTCGTTGTTCATTTTGCACATTTTGGATCTTTTGGAAGCACCATCTTCGTCCTCGGAAATATTTGCTCTAACGGAAAATTTTCATTTCAGGGTTGCTAAAAAGCCTTCGTATGCACATTCATTTTACTCAAAGGCAACGGAGAAACCCTACTTTACTTTGGAGGATCTCAATGTGAAATCCGCACCGGTTGAAAGCCACTTTGGTGGATATTTGGGTGGATATGCTCCATCTTATAGGAAACCGAAAGCGGGAAAATACCGATTGTTGACACCACAGGTAACTATTTTTTTCAAATTCTCTGGAATTTTATTTGCCTTGATTTGGGTTAATTTTCACAATATTTTTCAACAAAGCAATTGAGGTTGAGAGGGGAACACAAATATGACGACTGGCAGAAAAGCTCAATACAGTGAAAAGCAGCCAAAATGGAAAAACAAGATCTTTGATGAAGATCAAGACTAAATTGGTATTTTTGCCTTAATTTGGTCCTTAATTTTTCTGAAGTTTAATTTGTTACATTCGTAAAATGTAAAAGGATTTTACATTTTAAATTTATTTAAACATTTAAATAGAAAATTTATTATTATACGTGCTAAATATGCCGTTATCAAAGTTTTTTCGTGACCTTAAATGAAATAACTTTTGATCTAATAGATAAATCATGGTGATTTCTTCTGAATCAAGCTTAGACAACCAAGAATTTTGGAAAAATATTAAATATGGTCATTCGAAAATATTCAATATATATATATTATTCAAGAAATCGTTCCTAATCTTATTTCTCTTTTCTGAAGAAACGCCCGGGATGCATAAATCGATAAATTGATCTTCAATTTGTATCTGGTGCTCATTTGGGTTGTCTAAAGGGACGGGTTTCGTTAGGAAAAAAATATTTATCTTTTGACGTTTTTAGGATGGGTTTTCACCAGGTTCTTCTTAAGCGAGTCTCTAAAGAACCACTGCCAGTATCTTGATATAATCAATTTAAATCTGTTGTGAATTTGGGTTCCTTTAAAAGACGGCTGTAATCAGCAAAAATGTATGAATTTGCACGTTTTTAGAGTTGGTTTTTGCTTCTGCACCATGTTTCTCTTGCGCGCGTTTTTAATCAACCACTGGGAATATCTGACTGCGGGCTTCAAGTTCCTTCAGACGAATCCTCAATTTATATCCGGTGTAAAGTTGGGTTCCTTGAGAAAATGGCTATAATCAACAGAAATTTATGAAATTTGGACGATTTTGAGCTGGTTTTTGTTTCTATACCATGTTTTTCGTAAGAGTGTTTCCAAAGAAACACTGGCAATATCTTAATACAGGTTCAGTTATCGACAGATGAATCCGCAATTTATATCTTTTTATGAACTTGGGCTTTCTGAAAGGACGGGTTCGGTCATAAAAAAATCTTAATCTTTGGACGTCTTAAAGGGCGGTTTTTTTTTCTGCACCAGGTTCTTCGGAATCGCGTTTCTAAAAAAACCACTGGCAACATCTTGATAAGAGTTCCAGCTACCGACAGATAAAGCTTCAGTTTATATGGTGTGAATTTGGGTTTCCCAAAGGGACGGCTTCCTTCAGAGAAAAATTTTGACCTTTGAATGTTTTTAGGGCAGTTTTCTTTTCTGCACCAGGTTCTCCTTAAGCGCGTTTCTAAAGAACCACTGGCAATATTTTGATAAGGGTTTCAGCTGCCTACAGCGGAATCTTCAATTTATATCTGCTGTGAATTTGGCTTCACGCAAAA